GGTGGCTGAGGGACAATCACTGGTGCCTGCATAAATACTTTGTCCAGCAGGAGGGGAAGGCAGTGCTGGGAGTAAAGTGCAAGCAAGTGGGATTTGAGGTACCAGAATTGGAAGAATCTGAGCAGGTCATGCAAATAGAGACGGTGAGGGAAGCAGGGGGAAGTTGTGCTAAGGATCGCTCTCCACCAGTGACAGGAATGACATCCAGCATGCCTGAATCTCACTATTTTGTTGCTGTCAGCAGACAATTCTGATGGTCTTGGGTCTCATCCTTTCCAACCCCAAGCTTGATCAGAAGATAACCTGCTGCACTATTGGTCATTCTATCAGGGTGAGTACCACAAGAATGATCAAGGTTGATAAGTTATCACTAACAGTGATTTTTGTGCATGGTGTTATGATGCTGCATTAAGACGTTTTTCAATAGCTTTTCATAGTTGCATGTTGTTGTTGTTTAAAGAAATGTGCTATTATGCTCAATTTGGTATACAGTTCACAGGTGATGTGTTCTAGGGCTGTGCAGTAGGTTTCCTGCTGTCTACAGCAAAAGGGTAAAAGGGGGAAGTTTTGCAGTGAATCAGGAAACTATGGTAAGAATTTGAATTGTTTGATAGAATACTCTTGTGTGGTTTGAGACACCCAGCTTTTCAGAGTCTGAGTGGTGCTCTGTTCTCCATTTTCTGGGTACCCAAGCAGGCTCTGGAACCATATTTGCAAACGTTCTTAGCATACCTTGTCATGGTATGTCAGGAAACCGAAGACCTAGTAATTGGTATAATAAGAAACACAGGGATTTTGTGAGGACAGATGTCCCATTAAACAAGCATGCACCATCTTCTAAGTTTTTCTTCTATACTCTTTTTTTCCTTTTCTTCCTCCTTTGCAAGTCCCTTAGGCTCATCTAGATTCCAAAGAAGAAGAAGTAGTTACTCCCCCGTGGTTTAAGTGACAGTTGATGCATACTGGGATTTTGAATTAGCTGTTTACATAAGAAGGTCCAGCAGCCATTACCAGGTATCCAGGCAGAAGATATAAATCTTGTTCTTACATGGTCTGCCAGGTCCTGAGAGTACGAACAGGGCCCTGACTAACCTTGCACACCCCCAAGGTTCTCTCCACTCTGCCCAAGGCCAGATCATCAACCTCTGGGCCATCAGCCCCTGCCCCATCAATGCTGCAGAAGGGCTGGGCTCCAGCACCCCAGAGACCTGTTTGGCCATAGGCCTGGCCCAACCAACCCCATTCTTAGGACCTTGTCACCATGGCCTTCCCTGATGATCCTACTGGCTGAACCTGGCCGCCGATTCCAAGTCTTTGGTGTTCAGAGGCAGGGGGGATGGGTGAGGCCCTGCCATGCTGGCTGTGTTGTCATTGCTGCCTGTCCCTATGGGAAAAGCTGTCCTTCGCTGCTCCTTGACAGAATCTTCTTTGATATTTGTTCTTCTCCATCTTCATAGAACTACTTTTGTGGTTTTTCTGCCCCCTTTCTCAGCCTCCCTTTCCCACAGCACCTTTTGATCAGGCTGCACAGAGTTTCTGTTTCCCATGGCCCCAGTTCCTCCATACATCCTCACATTGCAGCTCCCTGACTGGGATTTTTTCTGTCAGACTCTGCTGTTTTTTCCTGTGTCCTCTTTTTTTTCTTCATTGCTTTGGTTCTTTTCATTCCCAGATTGGATTTTGTTTGTGCTTGCTCTTTTGTGTGGTGGTTGGTAACAGTTTTAGCGTACTGGCAGCCTGAGTGGTGTTGGCATCCCAGAAAAGGAAGATTTTAAGGAGTGATTTTAAGTAAAAAATGCACTCAATTTGTATATACTTCAGAAACTTCTTCCAGAGAAAGAAGGCAACAGGGAAAATAGCAAAAAAAGCAGCGTTTAATGGGGGCTAGTGATATGACTGATTAGAAGGTGAAGTTGTGCTTTTAATTCTGCATGAGAAATAACAAGTTAGGAAAAGTCTTGGAAGACAAGGAGATGAAATAGGGAAGGAGAATTCAGTAGATGTAAAATGATGATGTAATGAAAACAACGAACAGCTTAATGATGGCATTGAGGAATGTTGCACTGCAGTTGCTGAGGCCAGAAAGAAACCTGCTACAGTAATGAAGGTCTGATATGACAACAGCAGAGAATGAGACTTATCTATGTGCGTGTGCTAGAAATTGTGACGTTGTACCTGTCTCACTGCAGTGAGGTGTACTTTTCTGTAGGATTTCCCTGTCAGCCTCCTTCTCAGTCCAGGTCCTGTGTTGTCCCCTCACTGAGTTTGTACCTGTTCTTCTGTAGCAAGCAAGTGCCAGATTCTGTACGTGAGAGAGGGCAATCCTGGATATACATAAAGACTGGGACAAAAGGTGGAAGAGCACCCTTGCAAAAGGGGGTCTGGGAGTTCTGGTTGATGGCAAGTTGAATCTGAGTCGGCAGTGTGCCCTAGCAGCCAAAAGGGCCAACTGTACCCTGGGGCACACTGAACCCAGCACTGTCAGCTGGGCAAGGGGAAGGATTGTCTTGCTCTGCTCTGTGCTATGCTGCCTCACCTTGAACAAAACTGGGTGCAGTTCTGGGCACTACAACGTAAGGCATAAAACTTTTGGAGAATGTCCAAAGGAGTACTGTGAAGGTGTTTGGGGTCTAGAGGACAAGACATATGAGGGGTAGTTGAAATCACTTAGTTTGTTCAGTCCAGAGAAGGGGAAACTGAGGGGAAGCCTCTTGGTGCCCTGCAGATCCTCACGAGGGCAATGGAGGAGTAGTGCTGAGATCTGCGTTCTGGTAACAACGACAGGACCCAAGGGAATGGCATGGATCTGCATCAGGGTTGGGTCATGCTAGGTATTAGGGAAAGTTTCTATACCAGAGGGTGGTGGGCATGGAACAGGCTCCCCAGGGCAGTGGTCATGGCCTGAAGCTGCTCAAGTTCAAGAAATATTTGAACAACATTTTTAGAAATATGACTTGAATTTTGGCTGAATCCCACATGGAGCCAGATCAGATGCAATGAGCCCTTGGCAGTTTGCAGCCTACTGAAATTTCCTAATCCACTAATGATTCTCCACTTCATGGAAAAGGAAAGCCTACCTGCAGAGACTCCTGTTACTAGGCTCTCCTTTCCTCCTGTCCATCCATAACAAATTCAGTGGGAATGGGGAGGCTGTAGATTTGAGTGATCAAGGGGCACACTCAGAACTGTGTCCAGCAAAGCTTGCTTTTTCCTGTTCTTTTTTTTGTGCATCATCCTGTCCTCACCTGCTATGTACCTACACACATATAGGTATGCATGTATTTGCATTTGTCTTTTCAATGGGGTTAGCGGGGCGTAAGTAGAGAAAGCAACATAGCTGCTGAGAATGTTATCTTTTTACAGAGATTTTCCCTGCCTTCCAGTGACTGGCCCTACTGATACCTTTCTTCACCTGTGGCTTCGAATCTGTCACGAACACACGTAAGTAATGTTGCCTTTTCATTCTTCTAATCTGAAAAGTCCCACTTATCTTCTAGTAGAGTGCAGAAGATCACCCATATGCTCAGGTGTGGCCAAGGTCTGCCTGTGCCAAAAAGTTAGCTTGAGACACACCTATGCAAGTTTATCACCTGGAGACTATATATCCTTATCAACCCACTTGGTTAGTTTACTTGGAGCAAATAATATGCCAATGTAACTATTATTAATATGTTCCTGAACTGTGCATATATTTGTGTGTATATGAACACATAGATGTGCATATTGTTTAAAAATATGTAGGTTGCTCTGAAAATAATGCCTCCTACTTATTTCCACGGAAACTGTAACAAATACAAAGACCACATTAACACTATTCGATAGAGCAAATTCTCTATTGAAATCTCTCATTGAAAAATGCTATTTTTCAATGTAGTCACCACCATTAGATATGCATTTTTATCAGCAGCGAACAAGAGCCTGCATGCCCTGCTCATAAAAATCTACTTAGCCATCTGGAACGTGGCTTGTCCTTCACATCACTGTCACCACTGCTGAAACACACCACCCACTGCCTCACTGTGATAACATTCACTGTTTGGTCTCCATAAATAGTCTGCAAGCATCAATGAATGTCAGTGGGTACAGTTTTTTCCACATGGAGGAATTCTATTCCGCATCTTTTCTTTGTACGCAATTCCATATCAGACATCATTTTGTCAGACTGCCCCTCTGCTGCCATCTGTCACACAGCAACAAAATGTAATGCAATGGTGGTGGGAAGGTTCAAACTCTACCACCAACATCCACCTCTGGTGTTGTGGGCCAACATAATAAAACAGGAGGCATTACTTCTAAAGCAACCCTCATACGTATGTATACATGCACATGTTGGGTATTAGGAAACAGTTCTTCTCAGAAAGAATGACTAGGCAGAACAGGCTGCCCAGGGAGATGGTTGAGTCATGTAGACTTGGTACTAAGGGACATGGTTTAGTTGGATGCATATTGGAAGTAGGTGCACGGTTGGACTAGAAGATCTGAGAGGTCTTTTTTGATTTTAGTGATTCTTTGATTCTGTCAGTAGAACACATGATGAAGGGAGAGTTGAGATGGAGTTGAGAAAATATTGAAAGTCGAAGATCAAATTCTATGTTTTCTTGCAGTCTTTAGAGTGATCTTTTGCAGCCAAGAAAATGCAAAAATATTGGCTACATGCCATAGAATGTAACCAACGTGTAAAAATGCTGCATTCGTTTGCATAAATATTGTAACAGTTTAATGTAGACAACAGTAAATAGTTAATATATGTAACTGTGTATTTGTTCATGTTGTTCATACTAAACTCGGTAAGAAATGTCATTTTTGCTGTTCCAGTCCTACAAAATCTAACCTGTGTTATGTTTCCTTGTTGACAAAAAGGCAGATTTCGAGTTTACAAATATCTTCATCTTCCTTCCTGTGAAAATACTATGAATCTGAAGGCATTAATTTTCCTTCTCCCAAATTTCATTTTTGGGATATTTCTTTTTGGATTTTTATGTAGAAGACAAAAAAATCCAATGGGTGAGTAAAGAATTTACCAGCATAACAGTTTCTAGAAGCAAGTCTACCCTTCCCAAATGTGTTAGAAAATAATTATGAAGCTCATGTAAGAAAATCTGCTGTCACTCTGATAACTGTCTTAGTAATGTTTGGGAAGAAAGCTACAAAAAATGTTTGATATTAAAAGTGTTTGAACACCCTCCTTAGAGTAGTATGGCTGACACGTTGACAGTTTTCATTTTAATGAACTTTCCACTAGGCAGGCTAGCTTTTTGCATGTTTCCTGTATTAAAGTCAGATGACAACAAAGATTGATTTTAAAATCCTTTTTTGTTTATGTATACAGGGAGATAGACATAGGTAATTCTTATATAATTACACCAAGAAAAGGTTATGTGTATTTCACACTAACAGTTTAAACTTCTTCCTTAGTTGCAGATTCTTTTCCTGGTCTCACTGAAGATTGGCTAACAATTCAAAATGATCGCAGAAACACACTGGCTTCCCTCTGCCAGAAGAACAACCTCATTAAATTAAAAAGTGCATTGGATTCTCTTGTTGCAAGCCAGATTTTTGTGGAGCACAAACATAAATTTACCTACTGTGAGGTGCCCAAAGTAGGCTGCTCTAACTGGAAGAGAACTATTTTCATTCTCCAAGAAGGCTTGAATGTGGAAGCTTCTGAAATTGAGCATGACCATATTCACCAAACCTCACTGATCAGAAGGCTGAGTGCTTACCCTCCTGCCATGCGAGAGCAATTTCTAAACAATTACACCAAAGTGATGTTCACCAGACATCCATTGGAACGGCTGGTGTCGGCTTACAGAGACAAGCTTCTGCACTCTGAGCCATACTATAGTATCACTGTTGCTAATCAGATTAAGGCAATGTTCAGGAAAAACAAAAATTCCTCTGAAAAAGTGAGTTTCCAGGAGTTTGTCAGTTTCATTACAGCGAAACCACCAAATAATCTTGACATTCACTGGAAACCAATGTTTCTACTCTGTGATCCTTGCAACATTCACTATGATATTCTGGGCAAGTACGAAACTCTTGGGTTAGATTCTGTGCAAGTTCTGAAGGCAATTGGTGCACCAGCGAGCCTGCAGTACCCCAGCTTGAAGAGATATGGCTCAGAGAAACGAACTAATAGTGATATCACCTTGGAGTACCTCAGACAATTGAGCTCAGAACAAATTGAGAAGATACAAAAATTATATCAAATGGATTTTCTCTTGTTCAACTATACTTTGAAATATGAGAACTATTTTTCTCTGTGACGTTAATGCAGCTTAAACAGTGAAAATTTTCATTCATACAAGATGAGCTTGAACTTGTCCTCAAAGGTGCTTGATCAATAGGTATATTACAGATGATGCGATTTTAGTGGTGTTTAGGGACATGGTTTTATTCGTTGTAAGCACTCATAACAAATCTGTGCTTTGATCTGTAGTACAGTGTTTAGCTATATGACTTTTTTTTTCTTTCTGATAATCATATAGATATGTTTGCTTCAAAAAGGCTGCTTGTAAAAGATAGATTTTTTTAGTCAGTTGGTAGAAGAGAGAAGGGTGAAGAATGCTGTTCTTCACAATTAGTATTTTACAGAATTTTTTATTAAAACGATATTTTTTTAAGAAAAAGACATAAAGCAATAGATAATATACTTCAGTGTTAAACCATTCTGTCTATAAAAGCCTCAAACATGAATCCTGTAGGAAAGAAGCAAATAACTTCAGATACTTGGACCTGTGATAGAGAACTTAATACCTGATTATATTCCTCTCTGGCAGTGCTCTTACTGCAACATACCAGCCTCTTCCATCGAGCAGCATCTTCAGCTGCAGTCCAGCAGGTCTCCCCTTATGTGGCTTCAGATTCTTTTTACCACCTTTGTGGATATGATGATCTGATCTAAGAGGAAAATCTAAAAAATGTCTTCCTTAGAGATGAAATTAGGGGTACTTTCTAGACTGTACAATGGAGGTGGTGCAGGATCTGAAGTTATGATGGGAATGTGGCTCTGACCTATTCTTCAAAAGTACTTAGCACCAACTAATCAGCCAGTCAACAAAGGGGTGACACTGTTCAGGCTTTTCACATCTGTAGCTGCTGGAGATCATGAGCCTTGGAGACTTACCTGAGTATGATACTTAGGTGAAGGTGATATATAACAGGCTCTACCTGTTGCTTTCTCACCTCACAGAAAGATGAATGCAAATTAACTGCAGAGTTATGGTGAGGGAAACAATTAAGAGTGTGTGAGAAGCCATTTAAAACATAATCCATCTTTTCCAGTCTTAAGTGGCTTTCGTTTTAGATCAGGGAGATCTGTTAAGTACTTTTGCCCTATTTTTTGGAAACCTAGTCCCACTGAAAATCATTTGCTATCATGTCAATTGTAACTATTTTCAGAAATTTTCCATTAATTTCACCTTTAGGCAATGCTGATTTCAGGAGCAAACTTTAACTGCATTTAACAGTGAGATTTAAGAGATTTTATTTCCTACCGTCTGTATCTGCAAATAAACAAAGACTGGCCAGGCTAGTCCTTGATCCAGTGATGGTTCACAGCTTATTACACAGAAAAGGACAAGATAATTTAATTGCACTGGAGCTTACTAGCTGTGTAGCCATTCCTGACAGCAGAATGGCCTAGAATAGTTAAAAGGAGATTGGAAAAAGTGGACGATCTGATGAAATTTGACTCATGAGAATTACTGGGAGGGCTCCTTGTGTAGTCGGTGGGATTTAGGGCTGGTCTACTCCAAAGAGAAGTTCAAGTGATATATTGGTCATCAGCTGGAGACAGACTATGGAAAGAGGTAGAGGCAGAAGAAGATGTGTGCAGCCCTTCGCAATGGCTGATTGTACACAAAGCCAGGATTGCTGTTCAGTATGTCTTGCAGTTCTTGAATGGATAACTATGTCATAAATTGGACAGCTTTGGCAAAGAAAGGATCCAAAGCAAGAAGCCTAAACAAGCTCAGCAGAACAACTTTAAAAAATTAAAATCTTGTATTTCTCTTCCCAATGATTTATGGCTCTGAATCATCATATTTGGTACCCCTACAGTCCTATTATTCCCCAACATTTGTGCCTCTCTGGACAGCCTGTACTTTGTAAAGTTTTTTAATTATTTTATTTGTGCTGAGGCAGAGGGAGCTGAAAAAGAATTCTCATTGAAGTTCAGTCTGCACAAAAGGATGTGGCCTTTGTCTTTCCTGAATCAGATTTAGTGCCATCTCCAGCTATATACTACTCCTATCTTTTGTCAGATCATGAAGAGAAAAAAGAGGGAAAATAAGATTTGCTTGATAACTTTCTTCTGCATAATAACTCCTTCCAGAGCTGTACGCTTTGGCGCAGGTACTTGAATTTTTTGCCACCACCAGCCAGCCTAGGAAATGTCTGAAGAAATGATACTGATGAAGGTATCTGCTTGTCAGTACTTTAGTGTTAACACTCCTCACCAATTTCGTGCTGTTATGCATGGGTGGCTTTCTATTCTTACTTCTTCTTTCTCATGGGATCACATATATATTCTTCCTACAGTGGTGACAGAAAATGGATGGGTAATTCATTTGTCACCAAATGCTAGTCAGTAACTGGGGGCTACTGATGCAGAAAAACCTCTGTAGCTATTCATGACAGACTTTCAGACTTGTAGCATTTATCTATATGCAAACTGTATGCAGTAAATTTCCAGGAACTACTTGCTGCTGTAATTATGTCTAGCTGATGTGGATCTCAACAACAATCATGGAGGATGTAAGTGTGCACATACAACTTCAGATATTCTAGAAGGAAGCAGTGTACAAGAACAGTTGTGTATCAACACTAACAAAAGGAGGATGATAGTTGAACTGCTGGAAAATAGAGGAAAAAAAAAAAAAAAAAAGGCCGTTACCTTGTAAAGGCTGCTATAACATTTTCCTGCAGGTCTCTGTCCATGCTCAATCAGCTCACTACATTTCTACCTCTCAGCTTGCAAATAATCCACATCTTCTCCCTTCCAAGAGCTGCTGTTCGGTGAGGCAGGAGCACACGAGCTCTGCAGTATTTCAGAGTTGTTGGTGACTTGTTTTGTGCTGTCAGTGGAGACCATGCCACTTGGTTTATTCTCCATGTGACTTGTAGGGCTCATTTCACGAAATAGCCTTTTAAGTTCTCCAACTAAAAGACTTACCATTATTTCATCCTTGGTACTGCAATATAATAAAACTTGATGGAGGCTCTCGACCTAATCCTAATTAGTCTGAAAGGACTTCAAGACACCTGTACACTTAATGGTGAAAAGGAGAAGACAATTACCTCTTGATGACCTGGTAGAGAAATTTCTTGCACTCTCCTCTCTACAAGTGTACTATCCGGAATAGAGGCTCCTGGCTGAACTGGCTCCCACCTATGTTTGCAGGAGAAGAATGTCTGGGGAACTTCATTCATTTCAGCTCTAATTCTGGGTATTGGTTTCCTGGGAGGAAGTTGGGTACTTTCAGATGGGTCAGGGATGGAGGCAGCATGGAGGGGAGAGGGGCTCAGGTCTCAGAGTAGATTAGAAAGGGTAGAGGATTGGATTGCTATAATTGATCTTCTGATTTATCATTATATTTGTCTGTGATATAACTGTTGCTATGCTTTATACCTAATTACTGTAATAAATGGTAGTGAGTTAATACATTAATCTATTTGTTCATCCTTCTCAATAACATCTGTTTTTAAAGAAAAACCGCAATGCTTAGGGCTGTTCCATCAAATCAACGTAGCCACAAGCTATTGGACAACAATTAAAAGCCATTTGACTTCTTTAGTACTTTAATATAAAGTTGTCTCACAGGATTTTGGGAAGAGTTGGAAGAATGAGGAAGTATTAATGGACATTCAAGTTTGGATAAAATACGAAGCTAAGGTGGTAAAATAAGAGAAGCAAAAATCTTGCAAAATCAAATGCTGCTTTCCTTCAAGTCTTTGTGAAGGTATAAGAGATCCCGTGGTTGACTGATGTACATCTACAACAGAGACCATGTCGTCAGTTATTTCCTTAAACAGACATTTCCTCCAATTAAAAAAAAAAAAAAAGTATCAGTGATTCTGTCCTTGAATAGTCTTAATTTTTCGTACAATTTTGAACGCATCTTAAAATAACAGGCAACTGATGAGTAGTGGTTTCTTGTTCAGAGAAGTTCCCAATGCAGTGCTGCTGCCAACAGAATAAAAGATATCTACAGGTGAACAGTATGAGCAATGAAACTTCAAGTTCTTGCAACTACACTGAATGTCCTCTGACCAAGGGGAAAAAAAACAAATTTTACTAGTGCAAGTCATTGTTCAGGTGACACAGCTCATAGCTGGGAGATGACTGCTTCCAATTTCAGAATGCTAATATGTCAAAAGACATAGTCTCTACAGTCTCCAGTTTTCCTGTCTTGTCTCTATCACAACACTTCTTATCTCCTTCCCAGAATTATATGCCAGATCATGCTGTATGATTAAAAAAAAAAGTTAATGTCATATAGCTTACATAAATTAACGTAAGGCAAACTAAATAAAAATAGATGGCTAATTTATCTGATAGAAGTGCCTGAAATTGAAGGAGGTCCTCTTGGAAGTTTTGGGTGTTGAATATACACAGGTGTACAGTTACAGTGCAGCTTCTAATAAGAATTGTTTTTACAGAAAAAGCACAAGTGATCATAAATCTCAGTTGGTATACTGATTGAATTTAAAGTGAATCAGCAGATTCAAAATGAGCAATACATCACTGGATCAGGTTAGTGAAAAGAAACCAGTTTATCACCATTTCAGGACTATCTGTTATCACTTTTGTTCACAACTGCTTGAAAAGTCTTGACTATTCTCCTCCAAAGAGATGTTGTTAACAAGCTTAGACATGGTTTTCAGCATTCCCATCAAAGGTACAACAGTTCAGATGTTGCTGGAATTCAGAGAAGAACTTAGCACAAGTACCTGAAGCCAGGTAAGCATATTCCAGTTTGTAACTCTGTGATTTAGCAGAGCTTTAGGGAAAGCCTTTATATATACATAAACCTATGACTAATATCCTACCTCACTGATTGTGTTGTCCACCCCCTCCTCCCCCACTTTTTTCCAGACTCCTCCACATTCACCTGGAGTCCTGCTGAGTTCCCACAGCTGGGGGCCAGCAGGCAGGTGCTGCAGATGCTGGCTTACTCAGGCACAACTTGCCAGGTGCAAGTTGTTGGATGTATAGCACCAGTTCTCTTTGTGTGAGGGCACCTGCTCCACAAGTGAAATGTTC